GCCCCCAGTGAGGCGAAAGGCCCTATGGAAAAAAAAAAAAAAAAAAAAAAAAAAGTTTAACCACGGCTAAAATGTCCCAGTGAAGATTTCATTTTTTTACTTGTCCTGGGACTGAGATCTGAATTCTGGTTTCTGTGTGAGATTGAATTTGATTGCCTGAGTTCATATCTTAAAAGATAATGAAGGTTAGTCATTTTTTTAATTTTTAAAAATTTTTTATTTATTTTGGAGAGATTTTTGCTATAGGGCATGTGCGCTCACCAGACAGACAGAGAGAGACATAGAGACAGAAAGCGAGAAATCACCCCCCCGGGGGGATGGTCACGCTGCAATCCCTTCTCCATTCTCCTCTCGGGATCTTGGGCACGCACGCACACGCGCCCGGCGTGAGTTTTAAGCCACCGGGTCCAGGACGCGACCCGCGGTCGACTACGTGGGAGTCCAGCGACATAGCCATTACACTAACTGCTGGTTCCCTGTCATTTTTTTATATTACACAGGCAGGGAAAACAATTTTCCTTCTAGATATTGGGACCATTATGTATCATGGTTAGACGTCAATCAAGCCAGATCGAGGTTCTGCTATATGTTAAGGAATTTTGAAAACTCTGCCACTTTTTAAGTTTAGGAATCTATATGCAGATGCTCCTCAACATACAATGAGGTTATCAAGACTTAATTATATTAATAGAAAATATTGTTAAGTTGAAAAAGCATTTAATACACCTAACCTACTCAGCATCATAGCTTAGCCTAGCCAACTTGAAACATTCTCAGAATACTTACATTAACCTACAGCAGGGCAGCATTGTGCTCTTTTACACAACAGAGGGGTAGTAACCATGTCGTGTCATTTAAATATATTGTAATATTTAATATAAGATAGTGTCATTTAGTATATATCATATATTGTCTTATCACACTGAGACACAGGCTCTTTATGGCCTGGGTCATATCTTTGCTCATGACTGGATTTTATGTTTTTTATTTTTGAACTCACAGAACATTAAAGTTATCTGATTCTTGAATATATATCTTTCCCATGTAAGCAATTTGTCAGGTCTTTGGGGGAGGGGGGTGGTCATGCCACAATCTCTTCTCCTCCATTCTCCTCTCGGGATCTTGGACATGCACACACATGCACCCGGCCTGAGTTTAAGCCACCGGATCCAGGACTTGAACCATGGATATAGGCCATTTATGTCTTTTAGTTTGTAAAGACCAAGATTTAGGATGTTTTTATAATACCAGTAGGGATTTCGTTGTGGGTTTTTATACAGGACAATTTATGGTCACTAAGTGTGAAAAAATTTAGATTTATTAAGGCCATTTGTAATTGGTTGTAAGAGGTCTGTGATCATTATCTACACAAAGCCTATTTTATACTAAAGTGTTGAAAAGCTCATTTACTGAGTACTAGTAAAAGTAAACAAATAGAATGATTGTAACAGACTCAGAGTGTAGTTCATAATAAATGGTATCACTTTTGCACCACTGCAAAGTCAAACAATTATAAGACAAATCATCCTAAGTGACAAACTGTCTGTATATCCAGAATTTATTTCAGAAACCAGGATAGATAAGAAATATGACCCAAATTAGATTCTTATATTCACATAGAAAATGAGATGGTTTAAGAAATACCAAAATAAAGAGCCACTCAGGAGAAAAATAAACCTGCTAAATACTCAAACCAGTTGAGACCAGCCAGTTCAATGAGAACATCCCATTTATTACCCCAAAATGACAGCCAGGGATTATTGTAGCTTTATTTTTGTGTTTGATTCAAATATCATTTCAGGAATGTTGCTCCTAAATTAAAAAGAAAAATTATGAGGGGCCAGCATTGGTGTAATGGCTATGTCCCTGGACTCTGGTGTAGTCGACCGTGGTTCAAGTCTCAGATCCAGTGGCTTAAACTCATGCCGGGTGCGTGTGCGCGCATGCCCAAGATCCCGAGAGGAGAATGGAGAAGAGATTGTGGCATGACCATCCCCACCCCTGGTGGGTGATTTCTTGCTTTCTGTCTCTATGTCTTTGTCTTTCTGGAGAGCGCACACCCTATAGCAAAAACCTCTTGAAAAAAAAAAAAGAAAAGAAAAATAATGCGATACTCAATAAAACCCAGAACTATTGACCTGGGCCCTGTAGAGAATTTTATAGGCCATTTAGGTCTTTTAGTTTGTAAAGACCATTCTATTTCTCTGGAGAACTGTGACCAATACACCCATTCAGCTCAAAAAGTATTTAACTGGGCATCACCAAATGCTTTTCATATCTCTTTGCAGCTTCCCCTTGCACACCTTCCCTCTCCCCTGCCCTTAGCTACACTTTATTTATTTATTTTTTGAGTGGTTTTTGCTATAGGGCATGTGCGCTCACCAGAAAGAGAGACAGAAAGCAAGAAATTGCACCCCCCCCCCCGGGGGTATGACTGCACTGACATCTCTTCTCTTCCATTCTCCTTTCGGGACCTTGGGCACGCACGCACATGTGCCTGGTGTGAGTTTAAGCCACCGGGTCCAGGACTTGAGCCACTGTCAACTATGTGAGAGTCCAGTAACGTAACCATTATCTGCTGGTCCTTCCTTAGCTACACTTTTGACTTTAGGAGAAGACTGGCATCAAACAGTTTTGGAAATTGGCTTATAGACAGTCCTGAAATTTTGGCAGAATTATCCAGTATAGTAATAATGACTTTTTTTTTCTTGGATAGTTCTGATTCCATTTACAATAAAGGTGATTGATTACATGTCTTTTATTTAAACAACCAAATATTGTCATCATTACAGTTCACTATATCTGGTTTTCAAAAATAGAATTTGCTTTATTTCTTAAAACACATTTTAATTTGTTTCTTCCACCTGACAAGAACCACCGGAGTCATTTGCAATTTCCCTGGACTGTCCTTATCCTGAGTTGTGTAACGGCCTTGCCCAGAGTCAGGTTTGGGGGCAAATGGTATACCCTCTGGATGTTGGTCCTTGTGGGTTGCCACAGGGGTGTCTACAAACCAGTGCAAAAGTTCCTGTGGGCCCAGTTCCTGCTAAACTGAGATTGGAGCAGAAATCTTTCCGATTATTTTTCATGTATTGCCCAAAACACACCCCCAGCCACAGATGTCTTACCCTGTGTGGTTGTAATAAGGTGGAGTGGGCAGGGCTAAGGGGAGGACTGGCTGCCCATGCAACAAACATCTCACCACTTCTGCCCCAGGGACCAGATCATCTGCTCTGTGGCCTCTGGGATATCTATCACCTAACTTTCCTTCAAGTTCTAATCAAAAAAAGGAGGCTTGTTGCCTTCCCTGAGAGTGTACCCTGATGGCATATGAAATCTGTCTCATGACCCCCCATTTATCCCGGGGTCTGAAGCCTTAACTCAGGATGCTAGGGGGGAAGGGAAAGGAGATCCTGCAAGCCCCAGCCTTTATCCTACAGGAGGATTGCGAGGTCTGAGGGGGTCGGTGCTCAGTGCTGAGGTTGCACAGCTGGGACAACAGTATTTCTCCTGCAGTTGTGAAACCACATGTAATTGTCAATTGTTTAAAGGGAAGATTAATGTCATTTAGCTAGCATTTGTAAAAGGGTGTGAACTAGGAACATGAATAACACTTATTTAGAGTCCTGGCCTCAGAGTTATTTCACATATGAAGAATTTGCAAGACTCTGTTGACTCTGTCATTCTTTGGTTGGGTAGGTGGAGTCAGCTGTCCTCATTAGAATAAAGGTAAACAGATTCAGCCCAATTATAAATGGAAAAAAAAGATGTGCCCTCTGTCATTGAGGGCTGCAAAGGGTAGCGACTGGCTGGAGCACTCAGGTGCAGCAGAGAGAGGGGTCAGAGCATGAGTTCCAAGTCAAAATACGTCGGGATTATCGGAGCACCTTTCTCCAAGGGACAGGTGAGTAAAAAGCCTGGTTGGAAAAACTGGAATTTAATTGATAATTTTGAACTTGAAAATATATAAGGTATTATTGTCTGGGTAGTTAAGTTCCTTGATATAATCTGACCCTGAAATGCATATTCAAGTCTTCTTACCATTTTGCAACACTATTTAACTACAGTCCCAGACCCACTTACCTCCATAGCTCTGGATCTCAGTGAAAGTAGATCCATTTGATCTATTGAACATTTCCTCATATTAATTTTTTTAAATTAAAATGGGCTATTTTATAGCATTTAACTATTCAGTTATGTTTTGTGTCTTTTGATGTTACTATCTGGAAGTAGAGGGAGAGAGGATTTAAAGTAAACATATTTGTTATGTAATTAATACCTGGAAAGATTTAACAGGTTGGTGGTAACCTTCAGATTTCTTTTAATTTGGAGAATTTACATATTATTGCTGTATGCAACTTTGTGAATGATTCATATTGTTTCAGAGCTTTATTCTATAAGCTGTTTAGTTCATGGGCTAGATATGGAATCTTTCATGAATCTCCCTTCGAGGGGAGAAAAAATGAAAGGACACACTCCTTCTCTATATAATGACATGACAGAGCACCTTAGTCTTCAACATGGGTCTGTGCTTAGAAAAAACAAGACCAAAACCAAACTCACCAAATCAGGACACTGTGTGAGTTGAAACTCCTAAGGTGGGTTTTGTTTGTTTGTTTAAATGCGATCTTTCTCTAGGTTCCTCGGAGTCTGGGCAGCATTTTATTCCTCTTAATTATGAACTCTCTGTACTCTGGCTTTTTATTGCAAAATAAATTGAGAGAGGTCATAGGTGAGTGACCTGAATTGCATTTGGACTGTCAGTAAATACAGCCTCACTTATCCTGGAGATCCTCCAAAACTCTCTCCCAGGACACAGGCGTATTTGTAGACATAGAAATCTACAATATGCTCACCTGTTCTTGGAACAGGAGGAACAAAGATAGGCTTGACAAAACTGACAAAAGGAAGAAAAGGAGGAAGGTAAACAGGAAGGCAGGGAAGGAGAAAAGGAAGGAGGGAGGGAGGAAAGAAAGGAAGAAAGGAAGGAAGGAAAGGAAAGAAACTGAATATGCTCTGACCCTGGACCTCAGCCTGTCTGAAGCTGACCATGACAGCTTCTCTAAGAGGAATGCTATTTTGAAAGGCAGCTTGATGTATTTTCTCTTCTCAGTAATTTTGATGCTCCTCTACCCCCCAATTTTCGTCCCATTAAATTATGGCCATGAGAATGAAGCCTATTGTTTCACGATTGTAAGGATGGACAGAGGTAGCTTAATGTACACTAAACCTTGGAACAGAGAGGAGAAAACGGCTGATGTGTAAGCTCAGGTGAGGTAAAAGTTTTATTCCTCTTAATTATGAACTCTCTGTACTCTGGCTTTTTATTGCAAAATAAATTGAGAGAGGTCATAGGTGAGTGACCTGAATTGCATTTGGACTGTCAGTAAATACAGCCTCACTTATCCTGGAGATCCTCCAAAACTCTCTCCCAGGACACAGGCGTATTTGTAGACATAGAAATCTACAATATGCTCACCTGTTCTTGGAACAGGAGGAACAAAGATAGGCTTGACAAAACTGACAAAAGGAAGAAAAGGAGGAAGGTAAACAGGAAGGCAGGGAAGGAGAAAAGGAAGGAGGGAGGGAGGAAAGAAAGGAAGAAAGGAAGGAAGGAAAGGAAAGAAACTGAATATGCTCTGACCCTGGACCTCAGCCTGTCTGAAGCTGACCATGACAGCTTCTCTAAGAGGAATGCTATTTTGAAAGGCAGCTTGATGTATTTTCTCTTCTCAGTAATTTTGATGCTCCTCTACCCCCCAATTTTCGTCCCATTAAATTATGGCCATGAGAATGAAGCCTATTGTTTCACGATTGTAAGGATGGACAGAGGTAGCTTAATGTACACTAAACCTTGGAACAGAGAGGAGAAAACGGCTGATGTGTAAGCTCAGGTGAGGTAAAAGTTTGTCAAGCGGGCATATGAGAGGGTTAGAGGGGTGAGTGGCTGGAATACTGGGCCTGAGGATGGGCTCCATTCTCTGTCTCACCCCTGTGTAAGCCAGCGGGCAAATAATGAGGTTAGTATTATTTTTATCTTACAGCTGAGTTAACTAAAGCTCAGAGAGGTCTGATCATTTGCACCCAACCTTGACTGGATGATTCTAGTCAAGACTGTTTGATCCCAAAACCTGTGCCCCTGACCAGCACTGAAGCTTCTTTAGGGGCTCGACTTGACAGTGGATCTGACACGTGTGGCCAGTCACAGATTGGGCCCACCTTGGAAATTCAGTGGACAAAGCAATTTCTGGTTGTGTGTGTGTGTGTGTGTGTGTGTGTGTGTGTTCGAGATTTTTTTGATGGAGTGTGCATGCGCTCACTGGAGAGACAGAGAGAGAAGGTGATAAATCACTCCCCAGAGGGGATGGCCATGCCACAATCTCTTCTCTATTCTCCTCTCAGGATCTTGGGCAAGCACACACATGCACCTGGCGTGTCAAACCACCATGTCTGAGACTTGAACCTTAGTCAGCCATAATCACTATGTCTCCTGCTGGCCCCTAAGCAATTTCTAAAGTGGATATTGTTAAAGCAAGCAATGAGCAAAAGCCAATTATGAGAAGTTTGGTTTCTTTGTTTAATCAAACAACAAAAAAAACTGCTAGAAAATGTCACTCTCGGAGACTTAATGACTGTGTTATAGAAAATGTAATATCAACTAAGGAGTCTATGGGATTTGTTCTAATTGTCAGCTATACATTACAAATACAGTGCCCCAACTATAAAAAAGCTGGGCTGGGCCCAGCCTGGTGACACAGCAAATCCATTCTGGACTACAGCATTGGAAGCCACGTGGCTGATGTGGGTTCAGATCCCCTGCCTAGTTGGCCCAACACGCTGGGTGTGGCCTGTGTGCTTAAGCTGGAGAGCTGGGGAAAGGGGAATCACAATGTGATCACTCTGTTGGAAGCACTTCTCTATTTCCCTTTCCCTCTCTCTCACGCAAACACGCATATTGTCATGAATTAAAAAGGAAAAAAAAATTAAACTGAAATCTAATAGTGGGAAAAAGATAAAAACAGACACAAAACTAAAGGCAAAATATGAACAAAGTGGCACCTTATTGGGATTTAGAGGAGAAATTGTATCTACTTGTTCAGGAGGAGAGAAGTGGGTAGAACAAAAAGAGAGTAGAAAGCAGCAAAATGAGTCAGCAAAGTGTGTGGAATCCCTTGGTCTCAAGGATGGGAAGTGGACTTGAAGGGTGTGCCCAGCACCCAGGGCAACTTATCCAGTCATTTGATGGGAAGAAATACTCAGTTTAGTGCCACTTCCCCAATCCCAGGGAATGACATATATGTCCCTGAGCACATCCACTCATCTGTCAAGAAATAACTTTCTGTATCTAAAAACCTCATTGGAAATTAGAACCAGAAAGCTACAGAGAATAATTGTTTCTTAAGACCACTAGGCAGCCAGGGAGCTGGGGGGAGACCTGATGCCAGGAGAACTTCTCTTCCCTGAAGTCAAACAGCAAGGGTGGAATTTCTCAGCAACTGCATAAGCAGGTCAAACTTGAAATTTCTGGGCTGGACTTGGTGGTTTCAGCTGTCACGATTTCCCCTGCTGTCAGCTCTCCCTTGGAGCCGTAACTTGCTGCTGTGAGGACCTGCACGTACATCTCCTCCCTGCTGTGCCACCCTCTTTTTCTTGTGTTATCAGCCTTAGCCCAAGCTGTTCCTCTGGTTTGCAAAGTTTCTTCATCACCTATCCTGTTTTACTGACCACCTATTCATGTTGCAAGACCCAGTTTAAACGCCATCTGTTTCATGGTAGTTTTCTGACACACCCTGTCCCCAGCAGAATTAAGAGCATCCTGCTTTTGCTGTTATGACATCGTACAGTGACACCAAAGCAACTATCTGTAATTGTAGATATCCAAATCTTCTCTTAGCTTATGGGTGACTCAAAGATAAAAGCCATCTTCTCTCATTATTGTATAGCTATCAGCAGCACCTTTGCATAAAATGTGTACGCTAAACTGTTAACATGGAGTGATGGGAAGAGGGGATGTGGGTTTTGGAATCCAAAGACCTGGCTATGAGCCTAGCCTCTGCCACTTATTAACTGTGTGCCAGCAGAAAAATCATATAACCTTTGTGATTCTAGTTCCTTCTATTTGGCATAGGAGTAGTTCAGTCTTTGGCTCTGTAGGAGCTCAAACAATAGTGGTTACCATTTAACTGATTAAATAATGAAAAAGTTTCCTGTTGTGAGCGTCAGATGGTTACGATAATGTCTGAAGTACTTCGTTTTTTAATTATTCAGCCACGAGGTGGGGTGGAAGAAGGCCCTACAGTATTGAGAAAGGCTGGTCTGCTTGAGAAGCTTAAAGAACAAGGTAATTTTTAAACTGAAAAATGTTTGGCCTGATTTTCTCCCACACTGAAGGAGGGAGCAGGCTCCTGCTAAAATGGAGGGTGTGTGTGTCTGGAGTGATGTCTGTACCTGAATTGCATCTCTGGCTATTACCCAAGAGACACTTTCTACTAAAGAAACAGGATATGGGGAGGAAGCTCAATAAGCATTGTTGGATGGACATCTCACTCAAATACCCAGCTAAAGTACTACAGGGTAGTCTGTGTGCGCAAGAGCTGGGGTTTGGGTGGATGATAGAGCAACAGAAGAAATAAAAATAGAAGTCAACAGGCAACAGGAAATGCAGCTGGCAAGAAGACTACTATTTGTGAAATAAAATGAAATAGTAACAATCATAATAATACTAATAACAGCCCAGTGTTTGCAGAGTATGTGTATATAAGTACATACACACACAGATATATACAGATGAGCATTCAAATGTAAAATCATGTATCATTTTAGAATAAATCTTTATTTTTTATATATAAGACTTTGATAAAATATGTGAGACAATGTGGAGCAACTGGAACCCGTATATATTTCTGGTGGGAATGAAAAATAATAACCACTTTGGAAAACAGTTTGGCAGGTTCTTAAATGAACATACACTTACCTTTGAACTCAACAGTTCTACTATTTATCAAAGAGAAGTGAAAACACACACCTACACAAAGATTTATACTTAAATGTTTGTAGCAGCATTATTTGCAATAGCCAAAACTGGAAACAAAATGTCCACCAACTATGAATGGGTAAATGAAAAGTGGTAGATCCTTACAATGAGATAGTACTCAACAACAAAAAGTAATGGAATCTTAATACAGGCAAGAACCTGCGTGACCTCAAAAACAACATGTTAAGTGAGAGAGGCCAGACACAGAGACTACAACATTGCTATGCGACTCTAGAGGGACAAACATCACAATAGAAAGCAGATCAGCAGTTCTTGGGTGGAAGGAGGAATGAACTACAAAGGGGCATGAAACACTTTAGGGAGGAATGCAATGATTTTAAATCTTTTTTTCTCCCCCAGAGATCTTTTGCTATAGGGCATCTGTGCTTACCAGAAAGGGAGACACAGACAGAAAGCGAGAAATCATCCCCATGGGGGATTGCCATGCCACAATCCCTTCTCCTCCATTCTTGTCTGGATTTTGGGTATGCACACATACACGCCTGGTATGAGTTTTTTGTTTTTTTTTTTGAGAGATTTTCGCTATAGGGCGCATGCGCTCGCCAGACAGACAGAGAGAGACATAGAGACAGAAAGCGAGAAACCACCCCCCAGGGGGGATGGTCACGCCGCAATCCCTTCTCCTCCATTCTCCTCTCGGGATCTTGGGCACGCACGCACACGCGCCCGGCGTGAGTTTTAAGCCACCGGGTCTGGGACGTGAACCGCGGTCGACTACGTGGGAGTCCAGCGACATAGCCATTACGCTAACTGCTGGTTCCCACGCCTGGTATGAGTTTTAAGCCTCTAGGTCCGGGACTCAAGCTGTGGTGGACTGTGATATGATTATGCCATCTGCTGGCTCCAGGATTTTAAATCTTGATCATCGCCATGGTTCTAAGACTATAGGTATTTCCAAAACTCATTGATTTGTACATTTAAAAATGAGTGAGGTTTAGCAAATAAGACACCATAGTTCAAAAAGAGGGGGGAGAACGACACCCAATAGAGAACAGAAAGCTAAGGTAAATGAGCTTGTCCCTCAATTAACAAGCATACTTAGGTCACCCCTCAGATCAGGTGCAACCTGGTGGTGGTGTTACTGAATCATGGGTACACACAGACATGTAATAAACATAACATCCAATGGTGAGTGAGTTCAGATCACTAAACTCTTCCCATATAATAGTTTCACATGGCATGCTATACTTTTGAAGTTGAGTTCAGGGCCTTTCAGGAAGCACATACAGTTCTTAGGATTTAGGGTTGCCTGCAATTTTTCCTTAAAAAAAAAAAAAAAGATAATGACAAAGCATTTCCTGAGCTCTCCAATGTGTCAGGCTTAGTACTGAGCACACATTTTTTTTTTTTTTGGAGAGGTTTTCGCTATAGGGTGCGTGTACTCACCAGACAGAGACATAGAGACAGAAAGCGAGAAATCACCCCCCAGGGGGGATGGTCACGCTGCAATCCCTTCTCCTCCATTCTCCTCTTGGGATCTTGGGCACGCACGCACATGCGACCGGCGTGAGTTTAAGCCACGGGGTCGGGACGTGAACCGCGGTCGACTACATGGGAGTCCAGCGACATAGCCATTACGCTAACTGCTGGTCACCCTAAGCACACATTTTATTGACACCACTATGAGGCAGGCACAATGGACAGAGGAGGAATCTGAGTTGTTTTGGCAGGTGACAGATTGTGTTGAAACCTAAGATTGAGAAAAACTTGAAAAACTGGTGTATTTTCTTCTGGTTTAGCTATCTATCTATCTATATCTGTATGTATCACAAAAGTGAAAGATGCTTATTATAAAATGGTATAAAGCCTATAATCGGAGACAGATAACAGAGACAAAGACAAAGATTGTGACCCCATCAGGCCTGAACTAAAAAATTGTCACTATTTTATTCTAGTGTCTTGTCTAATTGGATCCATTCAGGATCTATTATTTCTCTACTGAGAGCCTGATCCATGGCAGGACCAGTGAGTAGAAGTGGTAGGAGGATGATGTCAGGCCTCAGGAGACATAGTTTTTACCTTCTTGAGGTTTACGGTCCTTCCAGATTTTCTTAGATTATACTATTGAAAATATATTGGGTTGTCAGAAAAGTCACGATGCAATTTTTCCATAGAAAAATACGTTATGACTTTTCCGACGACTCAGTAATTATTTTGTGTATTTGGAATTATCCTACACAGGCTGATTTGCAATCTTTTTCTTTTTTATTTAGTAATTTGAACCTTTTCATCTTAATTTTAGAGTGTGATGTGAAAGATTATGGGGACCTTGCATTTGCTGATGTCCCTAATGACAGTTCCTTTCAAATTGTGAAGAATCCAAGGTCCGTGGGCAAAGCAAATGAACAGCTGGCTGGTGTGGTGGCAGAAGTCAAGAAGAACGGGAGAGTCAGCCTGGTGCTGGGCGGAGACCACAGGTCTTGTTGAGTGATTATGTCCATTGGGAGTCTGGTGCAAGGGCCATACAGGAAGTCCAACCCAGACCATCGGAAGAGAAAAAACGAGATGGGAAAACCCTGATCGATACTTTGAACCAAGTTTTCTGCCTTTTAACAAACTTTTTATAAGATGCTACTTTATTACTGAATATAGACTCAGCTCTATTTGAAGTCTTATAATGTCTTTCTTTTAATCTACTACAGCAGAAAATGCATGAAATATAAATAAAATTCAGCAAACTATTCAGCACAGGATTAGCTTTCTAAATAAACAAGCACTGAGGAAATCCCGAATCAGCTTTTTGCAGTTGATTACTGATAATACATAAACTTTACTTAGATCAACAACTTCAAAGTATGTGTTCTATTATAAAAGTAATAATTTAAATTTTTCGGAAAGTGTTTGCACATGGACACACGCACAGACGAAAGATAATAAAAGGCAGCGGTAACTGCATTTCTCTAACAAAAATTTCAGGTGGAATTGATACGTGGCACATTACCTTCATAACACCTTTTTCCTTACAGGAGATGATTTCAACAATTGTTTGTGTATGTGTGAGTTACAGCCTATGTTTTGTTCTTGACCTAAAATTCAAATTTCCTCGTGCTACTTCGTGGTATGACGTAAACATCATTTTCTACTGCTTCATAAATTTTTTGACAGGGATTACATCACTGTATATATCCCCATATTGTCAGATACTCAGGTTATTTTCAAATTTTCACCATAGAAAATAATACTGAAAAGGTCATTTATGTGCATGAGACTTTTTAGTATTGACGCTCATGATCCCAGGATAACATTAAGAGCAGACTCAAAGTAGAAACATGTCTATGACTCTTCATGTAAGAATCCATTACGTCACCTTCCTCAGTTTTCTCTTCCAAAGCCAACTGTTACCAGGGCTTCCGTAACAAAACTACACCCTGGGAACTGGGGCTAACTTTGTTCTGTTAGTGGAAGAATTTGTAAGTGGAAATGTTAAGGATAGCAAGTGGCTGAAAGACAAGAAACCTGAAAGGAAAACAAACATCAAGCTGGATAATTGATGCTTGAACATTAAGGCATGATTGCTCCTACTTTGATCATCTAAAAGGTCTTGATTCTCTGCGTGATAATTAAATGTTCACAGAGAATACAGGCACTGGATAGTGAGCCCTTATCTTTTAAGTTCTGTGCAAGGTATCAGCTCTTCCATTCCGGGAGATGTCTGGAGCCTGGAGTGTTTGAGATGAACTTGGATGGTTCAGGGTGGCTCATTATAACGTATGGCAGGAAGAGACAGTCAAAGCAGAGGACCTGAGTGCTGAGCTCTGTGAGTGGGCACCCCTGCCTGAAATGGACATAGAACTTGTGACCAATACTCGCAATGATAAAAGAGTAGGTTTTTAAGAAAAATGAACTTTGTTGTAATTATTTGAGAGAACTAAGTATTTACCAAGAGAGCTAAGAATGCAAAAAAGGAGCCAGATTTCGCCCTGAGAATTGAGCACTCCCCCAGGCTGCAGCACTGGACCAAGCTGCAGTTTCCCATGTGGGTTCCCTTAATCATCACATTGTAGGGCCAGTCCAACACACATTAATCTTTTTATTTTGTTAGACTATTATTTAATTTGTGGTTTTATAAGAAGGCAGATGTTGAAAAACATCATCATAAAATTTTAGTGACGCCAGTAAATACAGTATAATTCGTAAGTATTAAGTATAAACTATACCTTCTCTATTGTTATTGTTTAACTGGCATCTCCAACTTAAGTCTATCAAGAATATTGTCCAGTGTGACTTAAAGGAAAAGAAACTAAACACATTAAATAAGCTAATCATATGCTATATTGTAATGATGTTGCAAACCTGATGTTCATGCAACCTTTTTTCCTCCAAAGTCTGGCAGTTGGCAGCATCTCTGGCCATGCAAGGGTCCACCCTGATCTTGGCGTCATTTGGGTGGATGCTCACACCGATATCAACACTCCACTGACAACCACAAGTGGAAACTTACATGGACAACCTGTATCTTTCCTCCTGAAGGAACTAAAAGGAAAGGTAAAAGGCCAGTTGGTCTTCTTTTACAAATAATACTCTTAGCAGAGGTTCAAGAGGTAGAAAGGAAGTACGAACTCCTATACCACCTTTCTCTTGATGTCAAGCCATTTTCTCTGCAGACACGGTTCATAAGGATGGCAAGACTCTCCACCTCTGTCTTATTTGATAGAAGGCAAATGAGATATTTCCCCTTTTGATTCTTAAACGGTCCTTTTTAGTAAACAAGTTAGCAGGGGTTCAGTGGTCAACCAACCTGCCCATGATCATAAATCAAGTTATAGTGAGGCAAAGGCCAGAAGCAGATCTCCTAACTCTCCTCTGTCAGCTGCATGCCACACAGCCATTCATTCCTACCAAGTGCTCCCTCTACATCACAGAACCTTTTCAAAATGGAGTTTTAAGATACAGATTACAGGAGCCAGCAGATGGCATAATGGTTCTGTTGCTGGACTTCCACTTGGCCAACTGCAGTTCAAGCACTGACCCAGTGGCTTGAAACTCATGACAGGCATGTGTCTATGCATGCCCAAGATCCTGGAAGAAGAAAAGGAGAAAGGACTGCAGCATGGCTATCCTTTCCAGGAGTGATTTTTTATTTTCCCTCTCACTATCTGTTTCCTTCTTTCTGGTGAGTGCATGTGCCCTAAGGCAAAATTCTCAAAAAAAAAAAAAAAAAAGACAAAAAGATGTAGATTATAATGCTCTATTATTTGTTTACCATGAGAGGCACCTACCTAAAGCTTAAGAGGAAAAACTACCTCTTTGCTCCTGGAAACTTCTTTTCTAAAAGATGTTAAGATAAAATTTCAGATTAAGATTTAAATTGTAACTCAAAATTTTTATTGATATGCTGCAGTGTATCAATAAAAACTTTTATTGGTACAGTTGTACTATCTTGGTCCTTATGATGATACAAAGGGATTTAAATCCCCTTATTTTATTTTTTTATTTTGTAAGAGAGATTTTTGCTATAGGGTGCACATGTACCCTGGATAAAAAGAGAGACAAAGTGAGAAATCAGCAGGGAGCATGGCCATGCTGCAATGCCCTCTCCTCCATTCTCCTCCAAGGACTTTGGGCACACACACATATGTGCCTAGTGTGAGTTTTAAGCTGCTGGGTCCTGGACTTGAACTGCACCTATCTGGGGGTCTAGCGACATAACCATTATGCCATTTGCTGGTCCCAAACTCCCTTATTTTTAAATGCTCAGAAGTAACATTATTTGAGCTGATGACCATGTGATAGGTTTATAAGCTTATGAAATGTCTAATAGCACTAGTAGAAATCAAGCTGGCTCCAAGGAGAAAACAGATATGTTATGATTTAATGAGCAATCGAGAGTCTGGTCAGACATTTCCACTAGCTAGTCTAGACCACCCTCTGGATTAAGTCCTTATTGAGAAGTCAAGAAGGAAGCTACCAAAGCAAAGGAAGCACACTCCTTTCTTTATAGAAGAGTCCTGGGAAAGCAGGGCTCAGAAGCCATGGCAGAGAGCAGGCAGATGCTAAGAGTTTCAGGTAGGTCTGCACCACAGGTTTTGGTAAGGCCAAAGTAATCCAGGGCAGAAAGTCCCTTCTTAATGTTGCATTACTGTGCAATGATTTCCTTTAAAATTATAAGATAGATATGTGTCATCCGAAAAGTGCACTTAACTTTAAATGTTGGACTGGCTTGAGACAAGCACACCTAACCAAATGGAAACCTTGCTATCTTAGGTCCCCGATGTACCGGGATTCTCCTGGGTGACGCCCTGCTTATCTGCAAAGGACATCGTGTATATTGGCCTGAGAGACGTGGACCCTGGGGAACAGTAAGTTTATGCCCTGATATGATTAACTATCATTTTTTTTTTTAGAGAGACAGAGATTTTTGCTATAGGGTGCATGAGCTCGCTGAAGAGACAGAAAACAAAAAATCAACCCCTAAAGGATTGACACACTGCAATCCCTTCTTCTCCAATCTCCTCTTGGGATTTTGAGCATGTACACACACATGCCTGGCATGTGTTTTAAGCTGCCGGGTCCAGGACTCGAGATGTGGCTGACTGTATGGGAGTCCAGAGACGTAACCATTATGCCATCTGATTCTCCCAATTTACCTTCATTTCTGGCCTTTGTGTGCTAGGTGTGCTCTACTCCCCAAACACAGAAGTGAGTTATTATTTTTAACAGCAGGCCAACACAAAGACACATTTATTTGGGTGTCCAGAAAGTAATGACGTATTTTTCTATTTTTTGATGCAAAACTATGTCATGACTTTCTCGATAATCTAATATAGCCATGCACATACATATGTATATATGTATTCAATGTATATCTTAATTGAACTGCTGTTGAAAATAAACAAAAATAATATAATATTGAGGTATATATACAGTTAGAAAAACTAAATATATATTTTACCACATTCATCTTTAAAAGAAACAAGAGGGTGTAAAATCAGTTTATTATTGTAGCTTATTCTTTTTTAAAGAATTATTTATTTAATTTATTATTACTTTAAAATGTGCCATAGGACACATTCCCTGACGAGAGAGAGAGAGGAGAGAGAGAGAGAGGCAAAGTGAGAAAGCAAGTTGCCAGGTCCAGGAATTAAACCGTGGTCAACTATGTGGGAGCCCAGTGCCTTAATTCACTACGCCATCTGCCAGCCCTTACTGTAGTTTATCTTACTATCGCTTCTCTTCCAGCTACATTTTGAAAACTCTGGGTATTAAGTACTTTTCAATGACCGAAGTGGATAAACTAGGGATTGGCAAGGTGATGGAAGAAACACTCACTTATCTGCTTGGAAGGTATGGCGCTTTTCTGAGTGTGTGTACAATGTAAACACTGCCTGCCTCTGACACTAAGCAAGGCAAGTCATTAATAAGGTCTTTAAGTAACGCCAGGGAACTTAACTGGCTGTTACTTTTTATAAAGCAAAGACTGTATTTCCTCACTGAATATTAACCCACCAACTTTAAACTGAAATTTTTTTCTCACTTATTAAAAGAAAGAAAAGGCCAATTCATCTGAGTTTTGATGTTGACGGGCTGGACCCATGTTTCACACCAGCTACTGGCACGCCAGTCATGGGAGGTCTGTCTTACAGAGAAGGTCTCTACATCACAGAAGAAATTTACAAAACAGGTAGGTAAAAATCCAAGGAAATAAAGATGCAAGTGTATTCTCAGTCAACATATATTTATATCTTCCTGATCTGAAAACCTGGCCCAGTTGACACTTCCAAAATGCCCATCGCATGATGCAGTATCTGTTGGTTACCATAGTTTTAGTTACTGGATAATTTTCCAAGTCTGTCTGTACTGACTTTAAAATGTCAACTATTTTATAAATTGTATTACCATCATTTGTTGTTGTAGGGTTACTCTCAGGACTAGATATAATGGAAGTGAACCCATCTCTGGGGAAGACACCAGAAGAAGTAACTCGAACAGTGAACACAGCAGTCGCAATAACCTTGGCTTGTTTTGGAGTTGCTCGGGAAGGAAATCATAAGCCTATTGACTATCTAAGTCCACCTAAGTAACTATGAAAAAAAAATCTCACGCTTAATGACATAACTAGTGGTTCTAATAATTTACTTAAGCCTGCACTTATTGTCCTAAAAAGTTGTTCCTTCAGAAAAATATTTTTCCAATTAATATAAACTTTACCAAATCCCTCTTTGCATGAAATTGAAGATTTGGTCATTCTAACTTTTGCATAAATAAAAGGCTTTTATATCCCATTTTGGCAAAAAGACTTATCCTTAGAAAAAGAATTATATATTAATTTCCAATTATACGTTTCCTGACATTAAAAAAAAAAGATGCAGCTATATGAGGTTCCATGCATAGAGTGGAACTCCTGATATCAGCAGACAAAGCTGCATCGCCTGGAACGGTACCACATGTCCATGTTGCTCAAAAGACGGGGTTTTTATAATAAACTCTTTATAACAAGATTCTGTTGTATCTCCATGTTTCTTTCTTATACACGCATACACACACACACACATACACACCTGTATCTCCTGCTTAAAACTACTGCAAAGATTTTAAAACTCATAATGACATCATAATTGCCCAAACATTGTAAAATCTTGCTGAAGCTATTTAAACTCTCTGGCTCTAGCCCTTTCAATTGTAAAATGGGTCGTCATGGGTCCACGTGATCTTCAAGTTCATCAGTATTAGATGTCAATGTAAGACTTTTTCTAAACCTCATATGTGATATTAGGTGATATTTTAAGCCTGGTTGCTATTTAGGTAGTCTTTTGGGAGTCAGACAACATTCTCAAAAATCTATTCAGAAGCCAGAGAAATCAAAGTGCTACTTTTCCTTTGCTTCTAAAATATACTAATTGAGATTAAGGTTTCACCTAAAATCATCTGTGGCTTCCATATGTCCTTGACCTCCATTTATGGAAATTACAGTATGCCCCTTCCCCGAAATCCTTACATATCTTAACAAATTCATCTTTGCTCTAGAACAGAGAGGAAAGTTAAAAAAAAAAAAAAGCAAGAGAAAACAAGGGAAGCAAACTCTTCCTGTTCTTCCCAAATTATGTCAGAATCTGAGGGAATTCTATAGTGAAGTAGAATCCATAAAAGAATTTTTATTGCACCGTTTGTTTTTTAAATAATTATTTATTTAATTTTGTTACTATTATTATTTTCATTTGACAAGAGAGAGACAGAGAAAGAGAAAGGGAAAATGAGAACGCAAGTCACCAGGTCTAGAACTCGAACCATAGTTAGACATATTTGAGTCCAGTGCCTTAACCATCATGCCACCGTACTACCTGCCAGCCCCCATTGCACTTTTTATTTTTATGAATTATTTAAATTTATTATTATTATTTTAGAATTTCCAGAGAAACACACACATAGACACAGAGAGAGGGAGAGTGAGAAAGTAAGCCTCAAGGTCCAGGAGTAGAACCATGGTTGGCCTTGTGGGAGTCCAGCACACTTGACCAGCATGCCATCTGCTGGTCCCTGTACTGTTTTAACAGTTAAATGTTAAAGAGCTCTTATAATCTGATATTTTACATGTAACCTAGAATTTTAAACCTACTTATTGTCTAAAATGGCTAGATTATTATAAGATAAATATTCTCTTAAATTACTTTTAGATAAGAGCAATTATGATGGAACTTACTCTAGAGTACATTGGTCAATACAGTGCCACATGTGGTCTAACAAATTAATTAATGCTTAATAAGTTAAAATTTTAGTTTCACACTTCACATGCTCAATAGCCACATGCAGCTACTAAATACTGTAGTAGACAGCACAGGAATAGAACATTTCAATCACTGCAGAAAGTTCTGTTGGGCAGAAGTACTCTACAGTTATCATTAATTTTCAAAAATAAAAACTTTTAAGATGTAATGAACATAAAGGCATTTTTTCCCCTCGGCTGCATCTTGCAAAACGTTTGTCTTCTATTAATGTTTCTGATTAATAGCTCTGTATAAAAGCCTATTAAGGAAAAATAAAGTCTTAATAAATTAATTAAAATGTATATATCTTTGAGAAAGTGGTAATGATTTTTATTTCTTCTATTCTGTCTGTGTAGTATCTAAAGAACCAAAGTGTGCACTGTATTTAAAAATGTTAAGTATTTAAAAATGTTAAGATCACGAAGATTCGAAGAATCACATCATCTGCCTGGTGGAAGAAAACTGACAACCTGTGAAAGCACTTCATTCATTTTGAAAACAGAGTTTGGAGAATGAACCATCTATGCATAATTTTATTTAAGTTCATGTATTTTCAGATATGTTATTTTTTCACATGGCTTCTGACTCATTTCAAACAATAACTTTAAGTTCAAAATGAAGACAAAAAACTCTGTTATCTACCTTGATAGAAACGTTAGGCCATTCACTTGGAAATTTAAAATAAAAACTTCAAACCATTTAAAAAATATATGAAACCTTATAATTCAGTGAAATCTATAGTTCTTTACTCAGTAAAAATCTCAAGATATACCAAAGGAGATTTACGTATAAAAGGATCAGTAATAACTGTTTCTCATGTGTGGTACCTTTAAAACAACGCATCTGAAGACTGAATAAGCCATTGAAAATTTAAAAATAAAAACAACAAAAATGCCCAGAATAGGAAAGACCGAGAGTGCTTAGTAAAAGTCATTTAATCACAGAAACCTCTATGTTTTAGGTAGCTCTAACAAATTGTTATGAATAAGAACAACATGTAGCTTACTTGATCTCTTAGAGATAAAATAGGGAGATGGGGATTATTAGGTGTCAATAGATTCCTCATTCGAATCAAAATAAAACAATCTGAACACTAGAACAGCTTCTACTATATCGTTACAGCATACCATGTTCAGATTTAACAGATTTGAATCCACTTTCAGAGACGGATGCATTTCGATTTTCTCCATAGCACTGTGGCTTCACTGAGTTACTGGTAAAGACACTGGCACCTGACTGGACTGAGGTGCTGGGGACCCGCTGTTAATGGCTGGTGGAGGCACCGCGGCGGGCTCCATCTTGCTAATATGTGTGATGAAGCGAAGACGAAGTTTTAAAGCTGGTTTCAAATTACAGATAATTTTCTCTACCTAAATAATGAAAAAAACATTTAAAAATACATACTTTAACCAGAGAACTTCAACTTTCCACCTTTAAAAAAAGATCTACACATATCCTGAGACAAACTAGGAAGTGGAGTGGGCAGGTGTTACGAGTTTTACTAAAAGCACCTACAATTATTTCTTTCTTACATGAGAGGGAACATGTGTTCTCACACATGTAAATTGCATAGGTATGTACATGTATCTATCTTTGCTATATCCATATCCACACACACTTCCTAAAGCAACACTTATCTAGCCAGCCAGTCATCATACTCACAAAAGCTAGCATAGTTTACACTGGAAATTTTATATACTCAGTAAATATAACATCTTTTGAAAATGCCAACTTTGCAGAAAAGTGAAACATAGTTATATTTTAAAGTTGTTTAATAACTCGCGTGCAACATTTATAGAGAGAAAACTATTTTTTGTTCTGATTTATACTGGAAATTCCTACTAAGCAATCTACTATTAAAACAATTAAAGAGATCTATTCTTCCTTGAAATACATCAAGTAGTTTCATAGCTTTCTCATGCTCTTTGACTTTATCAGGAAAGATCATTCTGTCAATTCCTTTCTGTACTTCTATGTGTATAAGGAATGTTTCTTTGGACTAAGAAGGTTTCTTAGGCACAAATATAAAGGATACTTTTTTTTTTTTTGGAGAGGTTTTCGCTATAGGGTGCGTGTGCTTGCCAGAAAGACAGAGAGAGACACAGAAAGCGAGAAATCACCCCCCAGGGGGTATGGCCACACCACAATCGCTTCTCCTCCGTTCTCCTCTTGGGATCCTGGGCACGCACACACATGCACCCAGCGTGAGTTTAAGCCGCCGGGTCTAGGACTTGAACCGCGGTCGACTACATGGGAGTCCAGCGACATAGCCATTACACTAACTGCTGGTCCCAAGGATACATTTTTTAAAATAATGAAAACAAATAAATTCTTTACATACTTGGTTTTTCAATCTATGCAGATATGAGGGGACTTTTAAAAAGTTCCTGGAAAAATGGAATTACAGGGGAGTTTATTTTGAAATCAATGTATAGTTTTCTTATAATATGCATTTTCCATGAACTTTTTGAAGACCTCTAGTATAACTATTTCTTTCTTTCCTGAGAGAATGTCAATTCTTTTTGATATTCCTGCTCAAGAGTAAAGGAGCGGAAACCAGCAGTTAGCGTAATGGCTATGTTGCTGGACTCCCACGTAGTCGACCGCGGTTCGTGTCCCGGACCCGGTGGCTTAAAACTCATGCCGGGCGCGTGTGCGTGTGTGCCCAAGATCCTGGGAGGAAAATGGAGGCAAAGGGATTGCAGCGTGGCCATCCCCCCTGGGGGGTGATTTCTCGCTTTCTGTCTCTATGTCTCTCTCTGTCTGGCGAGTACACGCGCCCTATCGCGAAAAAAAAAAAAAAAAAAACCTCTCAAAAGAGTAAAGTAGCAACATCCTCCCATTCCCAAGTCCAGGGAAAGCACCCCGGAGACTGGAATTCAAGGTCATATAGCAATTTATCTTCCACTATAGAAAGGAATAATGCTCAGGTACCGGGAAGGGGGGCTGGACTTATTTTCCTCTATCTGCCCTACCCCTACCCGTCTAAAGCAGCACATACTTCTTCCTACACGTAGGACACTCAGTTATAACTCAAGGCAGTCTTTTTGACTTGTAGACACCTCCACGGGGAAGTGCTGCCTCACAGGCTGAGTTAGTGTGTCCCTCTTT